GATGTTAATATTACACATTGAAGGTAAAAGTTGGGTAGAAACCACTTTTTCTAAAGTTGTTGTGAACAGAAGGATCAAGGTTAGGTTTGACCACAGCATGTTTAACAGTAGATGAAAAATGTCTTTTGCTAAGGAGCTGTTAATCAACAAAGTACATGAGCAATGTGTTCTCTCAATCTCCCATCAGCCTTCCAATATAAACCCACAGGCAGCTGATAATCAGAGACGCTCTGATAAACCCTCTGTACGCTACCTGCCCAGTAGCAAACGGCCAACAGTCACACTTAGAGACAAGCTACATCTATCAGCTAAACAGCCAGATGTGCTTTGCCTTGGAGTCAGTTGGCATCATTAAGAGGGTGCCAAATAGGCTAATAGCAGCTCCTGTTTGCAATGAATTCAGGGATATCCTGAGAACTACGACTGTATTACTTTGAAGAAAAACTTGACCGTTCAATTCTGGAGTTCATCTATCTTTCAAAACAGATTTATGGACGTTTGTTTGTGAAGGATTTCAGAGTTGTATGAGATGACAATGTCCTCAGGAAGCATAACTCACGCCGAATCCTAAAGCACTTGTACAGTGTCTGTGTGTTCAGATCTGAGCGACTCAGAAGGAGTACAAATTTTGATGCAGATTGAAGCTCACACCTCACATTGGTCCCACCAACCTCCCCCCTGACTGTCCCTCAAATGTTATGAGAGGTGCAATTCTCAAGTATGATGACTGATGGCAGTGAAGTGTACACGCAAAGAACAAATCAAAAGCTACTCAGCCCACGAAAACCAGACTAAACACTGCTCACAGCCTCTTTTCTGCTTGGCTTCATATACACTATGTTTGAACAGACAACTCCAGCATGCAGCAACGATCTGCAGAGAAAGAGAGAGAGAGAGAGAGAGAGAGAGAGAGAGAGAGGGCGAGAGACCCTGAGAGGGACAGCGGGAGAGAGAGAGAGGCAGAGAGGAATGGTGGTCAGTTAGTGAGTCATGAATAATTGAATGTGCTTAATGGGAGGAGATATAAAAGCTGAAACTGTTTGGCTGCTTTGCAATAGAGACCAGAAGGCATGAGTGTGTCAGTGTGTGACTGTTTGTGTGTGTGTGTGTGTATGGGTGTGTATGGTATCTATGGCTGAAACTTCTTCTAAAGTAGCAACTTTGCACATTACTGACTCTAAATGGCAGCTGGTGATAAATGTGTAAATGTTTTACAGTGTGAAGGACTTCATGACTCAGAAATCCTTTTAGGTGAAAGGAAAACAGCACACACACACAAGAACACGCACACACACACACACACACACATATATATATATATAACCGTCTGTTTTGAAATGCAACGTGACAGCAGCAGCAAAAAAAAACTTGCAGAAACTTGATGGGGTTCAGAGGGTTAACTGCTGTCCTTTTGGCAAATGGCAGGGGACACACCATGGTGTAAGTTATCGGTAATATCAGTAAAGAAGTTAGACTTAGCAGTCTACTTCAGATTAGGACAGTTCAAAGTTATGAAAATGAGGGAGTGTTCACAGTTTGTCTACTTCTCCTGCCACCAAAACTAATAGATTGATTCTTGAAGACTATTGATGTATTGCTTTTCCTCTTATGAAGTAACGCTAGCAATTGTCCCACCAATGAGAATTTGGTTGGATGAGAGCAACCAACCAATCAGCCAGTCAAACTGGACACTACGGCCCAAGATTATTACATCCTAAACTAGGAATTGCTAAAAACTCTCTCTTCGTGTCGACCTTGTAATTCCACGTGCTAAGTTTGACTTGATCTCTAACTCGCTTACATGGCCATCAGTGAGCACAACATCAAACTAAATCTAGGTTGTGTTTGGTGATTCAGAGGTCTGGAATTAGGCTGCAGTGGCACACAATCTGTCAAGGATTCATTTACTTCACTGTTCGCAGTCTCTTTATGAGATAAGTAATTATTGAAACTTTGAAGCATTAAGGGGGCTGCATGGTGGTTAGCCTCACAGCAAGAAGATCCCCGGTTCGCGTCCAGTTAAGACGCCCAAGATTTTCTGCATGAAGTTTGCATGTTCTCCCCGAATGTGAGTGTGCTTGGTTGTCTGTCTGTAAGTGTAGCCCTGCGATAGACTGGTGACCTGTCCAGGGTGTCCCCTGCCTTTGCCCTGAGTCGGCTGGGATAGGCTCCAGCCCCCCCACAACCCTAGTGAGGATTAAGCGATGTATAGATAATGGATGGATAGATGGACGAACCACTCAGGGGTCTTTTTGAAATGTCTTTAGATGTTTACAAATTGCATTGATGGAATGGGGTGGAGGTGGTAGAGAAGATCTGACAGTGAGGGAAAAAGGTGGATGAAGAAAGACGGGGCAAAGTGATAGCGTGTGGGTGGAGAGGCTGATGGTGGTGATGATTTTTCTTGTCTGTGATGGCGGAGACATAGCATGTCATTGATATTTATGGGCCGAGAGACCTCACACTCATTACAACCACAGAGAGACAGACACAAAAAGAGAGAGAGACAGACAGAGAGAAATACAACAACAGATGGAAGATGAGCAAAAGGAAGATCAGTAAGAGAGCACGGAAAGCACGACGGCAAAGATGGAGCAAAAAAAAACAGGAGGTAAAGATGAAAGTGACAACAGAGAAAGACACATGAAAGAAGGGAAAGAAACAGGTGTTTGCTGCAGAAACGACACAGTGACAGTGTAATTGGTGATGTGTCCCGTTGACTCTGCGTCCCATCTACCCTTCCCTTCTTTTTATAAAAAGTTTCAGTCTGGTTTTAAACTGTCTAACGGTATGGAAACAGCTCTTTTAAATGTCTTTAATGATCTTCTCAACTATTGATTGAGGAAGTTTTGCTATTCTTAATGAAAATAAGACCTAAATCGTTATATTTGGTCGACTGGACGACTTGGATGACCCTAATGGCGTGCTTGGCATTTTGGCTTAAATAGATCTTTTGTGAAAAACCTGGGAGGGATCCTTAAACAGGTCCTTAAGCTAATATTTTCTAAAATACACAGATAGATAGAAGTTACACAGATGAGCTCATAGTTTAAAACCAACATTTTTTGTTGAGACTTTTTGCCTAGGTGAAGGCCTATCGTTTTCCTAAATACTTAGAAAAACATAGTTCCGCCTTTATTACCACGTGGTTAGACTTTTGTAATTTTTTTATATGCCAGCATAAAGCAGTTGTTTCCAAAAAACATAGTTACAAGCAAACATCTTTATCATGTTTAGCTGGTTTAAAAAAAAAATAAAAAAATTAATCAAGCTGCTAGTCTTCTAACAGCAATAAGAATGCGTCATGTTACATCACTTGACCTTCCTCAATAAATGTTAGTATGTCCACTTCAGGATTGATTTCACGATTTTATTGTTTTTCCGATTTTCAATGGTTTGAGGGAGCCAAATGTTCTTGGATGTTGATGGAGCCTTGTCAATGGCTGCTCCTTATCTGTGGAACAGTTTTCATGTAAGAACTGCTCAGACTTTCAAATGCTGCTGCTCAAGACCCACCTCTTCTCATTGGCATTTCATTCAAATCGAGGTCTACACTTAGACTTCACCTTTTAGTGTGTTGCAACTCTTATTCCCATATTTTTTTTATTATTTTTTTTATTGTGTTTTTATCGCTTGCTGTTTTAATTGTAAATCACTTTGGTTCAACTTGTGTTGTTTTTAGATGTGTTTTACAAAGAAATATGACTTTGACTTTTTTTTTCTTTTTCATGTGACAGGATCTGGAAGTGCTATCTGACGGGATGATAATAACGGTGAATCCCAAATGCCTCACCGTACCCAGGAAGAAGATCTAACATGACATTTAACCTTTGCACATCCTCTCCTGTGACAGACCGACTGCAGGATGATGGGCTGAGTCCTGCTCATGATCCCATGGATCAGGAAGAGGCGATGCTTTCCTCTTCCATGTTTGTCAGAAGATGATTTTTGATGGAGGTTTTCATCTTGTGGAGCTTTGAGTTTTTGATTTCTACAAGCTTGGACATCTTGATGATCGAGAGGCTCTAAACTGAGGCAATTTTACTTCTTTTCCACACTGTTTGTTTTGGAAGATTATCACAAGGGTTCTGACTGCAGGAATATATCATGACGCTCTACAGGGAAGCCAGTGATTAGTCTTCTTGTTGCACCACTTGCGGCCAACACTTGCATTGGATGCTGGGTGAAAAAAACAATCACGGGTGCTGGACAGTCAGCAATGAGAATGTTCAATATGTTTGACTCGGAGGGACAAATAAATCCTCTTTCAGGTATGCTCTCCACACCTGCTTCTTGGAAACCAATGTTCTGATCTGCTGAATGGAGTGCAGAGAGTGGATACAACAGATTCACTGACAGATAGGAAGACAAACACACTGTTCTGACCATTGAGGGAGACAAAGAGAACTTCTGCCCCTGAGATATTTATTCTGTTTTAAACTGTTATGGGTCCGAAGCCCAACAGGATCACCTGAGCGAACCAGGGAATGGTCAACGACTTAATAAAACTCTCTGATTGGAGCACGCAAGGACGAGGTCCATCTTGATCTTTGAATCAGAACTCGAAGAAGAAAAACTCCTCTCCCCCCCACTTTCCTCTGGTGGGGGGGAGGGTGAAGGGTACTTTTGTTTTTAAGGTGTAGGACTTACGGCTGTGGGGTGTAGTTTTTAGGCAGTAGGTTTTAGATTGTAGATGTAGTAAAGAAGCTCTGCTAGCTCTACTAGTAATTAGTTCTTTGCTATTGTGTTGAAGCTTCTCCTCAGTGTCAGGTCAGTTAAGGTCGTTTTAGCTGTTGGCCTGCTGGCTCCACTTTAGTGCAGAAGTTAGCATTTAGGCTCATTGCTAGCTGGTAGTGTGCTACCTGAATCTACCCAACTGTGACAGCCAACAGCATTTAGGCCCTTCAGTTTAAAGTTTTGCATTGGTGAACCTTCACTGATCATTTAGCCTGAGGTCCACTGGCCATTTGCCTGTGTGTTCACTCTCAAATCAGCCAGCCATGGATGCTAGTCAAGGCCCAGGCCAGGGCAGTCCAGAAAGCCCCAACCGGGCCGTGGAGTACCTTCTTGAACTCAACAACATCATCGAGAGCCAGCAGAAGCTTCTGGAAACCCAGCGGCGCAGAATTGAGGAGCTGGAGGTTCAACTTGACCGGCTCAGCCAAGAGAACAAGGACTTGCGTTTGGACCGACAGCCTCCTCCTCCGCCTGCTCCTCCTCCCGAGCCTCCTCTTCCTCCTCCTCCTCCGCCGCCTCCCCCGGCTCAGACCACATCCATTTCTACCAAGAATCACCATCACCACAACAGCCAAGCTCCTCCCCAACCGCCCTCCTCAATCCCCCTCCACCACAGCCACCACCACCACCAGCACCACCACTCTTCAACCCACCACTCCTACAACAGCATCACTACAACCGCTATTTCAGTTCTTGCTCCGTCCTCAGCCCCAACTTCCATCTCTATCCCAACCCAAATTCCAGCTCCAGTCTCCTCCTCCTCAGCTCCAGCTCCACCTCCCCCTCCTCCAATCCCACCTAGGGATCAGCCGCGGACCCACAGCCGGCTGACCCGAGTGCCCTCCACCAGCACCGGCACCAACACAAACTTTGTGGAGAAAGAGAAGGAGAGGCTCGAGCGCCTGCACAGAGCCAACGCTGCCAACAACCACCATGCCCACACCCTCCACCACCACAAATCGTAAGTGTATTTTTACTACAACCAAAGTCTATGGTAGCATGAGAGGAAGGCAAACCAGACCTTATTTAGGGATAAACTTTGCTGGTAAAATGGTAAAACTAGTAGGGTAAAGCTAGAGCTTTTTTTTTTATTATTAGAAAACGGAAGACATTGACGGTTCATTCATTTTAAGGAGGCATTAAAAGGTATTTCTCAGTTCGACCATTAAATGTCTCTTTAGAGGTCAAGGTTTGTCACAATTGCTAGCCTGATTCTGACAATTATCAAACTGCTGTTTAACACTGTAGTGTTAGAATAAGGCGTCCTTTCACCAAACTTGGCTTGCAGCTTGTCACCCCATCGTCTAGTTTGCCAAATCTCATGTTACTCTTTGACTTTGATCGCTACTAACTTTGCAGCTTCTTTCACACAGGGTTTTGTGCAAGCCTACAAATGTGTGCTGTCTTGCTAAATTTGACCCAGAAACATCTTGTTGCTTGCACGAAATGCGAGCGACACATGTTTGAGTTGTTTTGTTGAACGTGAATTATTGTAAAGGACTCAAACAAATGTTTTCTCCTCCGAACAAGAGCATGCAGCTGATGCCCCTGTGCTTTGGTGGGTGTACAGGGCTGATAAATATTCATCCTTTTATCAGCTAATAGGGCTACAGAGTGGAAGGTTGTAGTGGGAATTTATAAATTGCAGGAGAGCAGGAATGCGTGAGACTCCAGAGACAGATGAACTACAGCATCTCGAACACTGATAATTGGTGGAGCGACGACTCAACAGTGTTATGTAACAGATATTTTTTGCTAAGCGGTACAAGTGGTTGTTCTCTATGAGCGTATAAAGAAAACACTCTGTGCTTTTTATGAGTTGTTTGCTGTACTAATCACCATGGCAACCACTTACCAGGTAGCTCAGTAGCTTCCCCTTTTGTTTTGTGCTCTGATTTTGATGTAATTTTGTTGCTCTAAATACACTTTTAGTGAGAACTGTACTGTGTTTGCTGGCTGGAAATGGCTTTGTTGCCTGGCAACACTATCTTAGGAGCATCCTATCAGGAAGTGTTAAGAACAATGGATCCTCGCTGCCGTCTGTGGTACTCGTCTCTGTATACGGGGCTCAGTGGTGCTATAGGCAACAGGATGCATGGTTGCAGTTGTCCCATGCCTCTACTGGGCAGCTCCTTTGTAGCTGGTAACACTTAACCGCTGTCTGTGGGAAGTGCTGATCATGGCGATCACTGTTGCTATGCAACTGTGGAAAACCTGTTTGAAGGACAGCACTCTCGCTAACAGTTGAAATGGTTGTAACCTCGCTCGGAGCTTTGCTAAGCTCACAGCGCTGTTTGGAACATAGAGCATTTCCTTATTTCCACTGCAAACACAAAGTGCAGAAAAAGAAAGGCTCCCGATAGACCTGCAGAAATGAAGGCAGGGGAAATGCAGTGATGACTCATGGAGACAGATTTAATAGTACTATTGCTTTGTCTTAGAAGCTCTCATATGTGCAGCCAAAAAGTAAAGTAGATTGTGCTCAGAGGTACATAGAGTGTGACTCAGACTCTTAGATCTGGGTTCATCTGAGGCATCTTGAGCCATCACAAAAATCCCCTAAGCCCTGAGTCATGGGACATTCAGGTACAGCTGATATTGTGAGAAAAAGGTGACCTCAAGCTTGCAAATGATGTAACGGACTCAGAACAATGATGACGTCTGACAGCAGTGAAGATAAAGCTGATTCGTTTTGAAATCTCACAGCACAATCGGCTGCTTGCTGCCTCTTCAACTGACTGAGCGTGAGCCAATAAATCCCACACTGCACTGGGGCAGATTATGGCATGGTGGCATGACAGCATGTTGCAGAGCTGCCTACACTGGTCTCTGAGTGATTTTGTATAGGGCATGATGCAGCAAAATGCAAAACACCCTCACACAGATTTATTTTGCAGCACCTCAGGCCAAAGTAGGAAAAAACATGAGCCACACAAGGAAGAAATAAATACTGCAGGACATGACAAAGGAGCTCAAACTGACAGAACTGAGAACTGGATGCAGCAACTTTAGTAGCATGAGAGTTGATTGTCAAACTGCTGTCTCACAGATATTTTCTCTGGTTTAGTGGGAATGTTGATTTACAGCAGCTATATTGCAGTGAAAAGTTCCTGTTAAGCTACGAGTGCAAATGCAAACTTGCAAACAAAAACACGTGGATCTAAAGAATTTGCCAGGATGTATTTCTCCTGCTGCAGTTTGCTTGGCTCTCAGATCTTGCAGTGCATTTGCAGCTGGTGAAAACAACCTGTTGAGAAACTGATAATTGGCAGCATGTTTGTACCTTAAAACACGTAGGAGAAGAAGTCTGTTAAAGTTTTACAGCATTGTAATTGGCCACACAGTGGCACTATCGTAAAGTTTTTCACAATGGTTTTGCTGCCTGCCGAGCTTTCCTTCTGAAGCCTTTACTGTTTTTGACATATTTGTGATTTTGTGTAGTCGTCATTTAAAACTTAATAAATTCTAACAGCCACAAGCTAATATTACCCAGTCACACTTGACATTTTAAAAGCAGAGCCATGTTCGTAGCTATTCATACATGTCAGTTGTAGTGATTTGTATCGAGCACTTCAGTTGGTTTACAATCACGCCCCCTAGTGGCCAAAACTGTAATAACCTCGTCAGTCTTATTCGTGGTGTCAGTCTGTACAACTGAGCCAGATTTGCAATCAAGAATTATTGCAGTTTGACCACACCGATAAATGTCTGTTAGTGACACATGGAACGACGCATAACATCTCAAATGCTGGTACGGGCATGTTCAGTCCAAACATGCTATGTACCAAATTTGATGAGAATTGGATGAAATAATTTTGACGGGAGTCAAAAGTATGTCTACAATGAAATTTAAAATGACTGATTTTTTTTTTTTTCTCTTCATGATAGAAGTGGGTGTGGCCTTTATTAATGTCTTCAACAACTGAATTGACAAGAATTTTTCTTCTACAGCTCGTAGTTGCCAAGATGTGGACCAAAACAAAATTTAATGTTTAACTATTTTCTCACCACTTGGTGGCACTATTGCTACCATTTTTTAGTAAGTGGAGCAATGGCATTTGGGGAAGGAGTCCACCAAGTCCGAGCATTGTAGAGTTTACATATCTTGAGACGTCTAACATTTTTTAGCCTGTCTCCCAAATTCCCATAGACCGCAGTCACAGTAAAACATTCAAGTAATATTAGCTGCTTAGTCTGTAAGCAAGAACAATCAAACTCATCGAAGCACACCAAGTATCAACTACACAGAGAGCAGCCTGAAGTACATGAAGTAAACAGAATAAAAAATGTAGAACTTTGGTGTGATCCTTGAACATTTTTATAAAAGATTAAAGAAGAGGATACAGTGAACTCAGCAGCGTGTAGCTCGATGTTCAGCAGCATACAACAGGGGGACATTTTGCCCTGAAGCTATATGTTAGCAACATTTTTGCCTCTATTAAGCCTCTAAACCCAGAGCAGTTTCTGAAAAGTTGAAGTTCTTTGGTTGGTTATTTCACAAAAACTGAAAAATCCTGTAATCAACATAAACAACATTTTTCGAAGTACCCAATACTGGAAAAAACAAAGTGGCTCCCCATGCTATAGTCATTTTACTACTTCTGTATTTTACTACTACTGTGCACATCAGCCATTCAAAGATATTTCACCAAATGGCACGCAACTTCCAACAACTTTAGCCATGCTGTATTCAGTTCATTAATCCAGTATGTTTTACTTTGTAAGCTCTCTCAATTTGTTTCCACACTTGTCTTCTCTGTGTGACACTGCCTGCAGTTCATCTGAAAACTCTCTGACTCAGCTGTGACCAACGGTGGTGAAAACAGTTCAGTCATTGCTTGTCATTTGCTCCCAGAAGCTCAAAATGTTTATTTTTTTTTACAGGATGATATGTGTTGACAATTTCTTTAAATGAGTTTTGTAGAATAAAGTGACTTTGATGAAATCAAGGACCACTGCAAAGTTTAAAAACTATTTGGTTTACACCTAGAATGGGCTGACAGATATACCAAATATGAATTTAAAAAGGCATCAACAAAGTTTTGTGTTGGAGTTTGTATTATTCTAAAATTTGACACCAAGATTTTAATTTTTACTGGAAATGTATATAATTTCCAAATAATTATTTTATATCTCCTTCATTATTAATAATCAGTACCGTCCCTGAAACAAACATCGGCCGACTCCTTACCGCTTCTCTGCAATATACATAGTAATTACAGGCAGATACAGTAAATACAAATCTGTGCCGAATTTCTGCCAGTGTGATGATGTTTTTTCCTATACTTAAGTAATATTAGTTGCCAGAGCCCATGATTTTAACCCTATTCAGGACTTTTGGGGTCTTTTGGACCCCAGGGCATTTGGATTAGGTGACAGGTATTGTTTTTTGTTTTGTTTTGTTTTTTTTTATTTTTGGACCTTTGTACCTTTATTCGATTGTGCAGTGAGAGAGAGACAGGAAAATAGGGGACAAGAATGGCGGGAGGACGTGTGTGAAAGGGCCATGAGCGGGATTGGAACTCATGACCTCCACATTGGGACTGTAGCCCTGTACATGGGACGCCAGCTCAACCAGGTGAGCTATAGCGGCGCCCAGATTTTTTTATTTTATTTATTTATTTATTAATAAAAAGAGGGACATTTGTCATGCATTTGGAACCAAAAATACGGCAGCTTATCAGAAAATGTATTTATTATAGTATAAAAGTCTATAATGAACCTCGAAAGACCTTCTGCGTATGGCAAAATGAAAGTCCTAAATAGGGTTAACACATGTGACTGTGAGAAGACCATAACCATCATCAGACATCAGTGCTGCTGTTACATCGCATTGATCCACTAGGAAAAGACTGATGGAGGACAGTTATGGTAATGAACAGAGAGAGTGATGTTATTTCTGCAGTGTGGGTGTGGAGGAGTCACAGGAGTCAGATCTGTAGGATTCAGATGGATGAAGAG